ATGACTCTCAGACACTTTCAACTATAATTGTTAGTGGTCGTTGTTGTTTTTTGTTTGTTTGTTTGTTTTCAGCTGTACATTTTCAAATAGAATAGGAAGGACGGCAAGTTTTAAGCTCGGTAAAAAAATTCCTATCCCCATGAGGAATCGAACCTCAGCCCTGGGTTACGACCCATCGGGAATTTTTTCTTTGTCCCACGCTCGTGATAAGACCATAAACCTTTCTCTATTTTCTTAACACGTGCACCCTAAAACAAAGGGTTCTAATTAATGAAAACCGCTAAATAGCCACTTTTTACATGTGGCCAAAAATGCGTGAAAATGTATTCCTCTTCTAATGCAGCAGCGCAATTCTCCGAGGAAAGGGTAATCTAACCTGGTTTCACTACTAATAACGAAGAAAATTAATAATTGTAACGATGTTGAGCAGGGATTTTGTTTACCAAAATTACAACAATTATAAAAAAAGAAAGCAATCAAGAGTGACAAACCTTGAATGACTTAATTTTCCCGCGAAACGTTTGAATAATCCGTAAGTTCCACAATGCCACGCGAAGCTCTTCAACTTGTAATCAGAATATTAATTTTAGACAAATTCGTTCCCATGTCAATCAAACGTCAGAAAGTACAAACTGAACTAAAGGTAAGTCATGAATCGTTGCTTTTTAGCTATCAATGTGTTTTTTGTCTTGTTTTGCTTTGTTTTTTTCGCCCGTTTGTAGGTGGTCGTTTGGCATACTACTTTGGGAAATGGCAACTTATGGTAAGTCACTAAATATTTGATGAAATAGAAATGCCAATATAAAAGTGAGTGCTGATGATGGGAAATGGGATGGGATGACGCGTACAAATTCACATCGGTTGAAGAGTTCCGAAAAACTTTGTTTTATAGCCTGGGAGAGGTTTTTTGAAGGGGAAAAAATTAGGCAATTTTTTGGAGATTAATTAAATAGTATGCCATTCCATAAGTTAATGGATCAAAAGGGATTAATTTAATAAGTTTAAATATTCTAGGAACAACACTATCAGGTTTCCTTTGCAATTTTGAGCTTACTGGCTATATGTCAACAGATGTGTCAGAGGGAGAGACGGCTTAAAACTCTATAATCAATTAAGGTCAAGTTACTTTTATTAAGCAAACTCTCTTATTAGTTATTTTGCTTATCAGGTGACTCACCATACCCTGACATCCCAACACCACTTGCCTTGGTAAGTCGGCTTTCTACGGGCTACCGGATGTCACGTCCTCATCAATGCTCGGAAGAACTGTGAGCTTCTCGATCATTTTCAAGCATGTGTTTTTATACGTTTACATTAATTCCATCAGTTAACAATTTCAACATTATTCAATTTGTTAGAAGTATTTTACCCGGAAGAGGAATTAGTAAAGGGTTTGTGCCATCTTAGATTTGGAATTCCATCTAGTTTATATGTCGCTGTTAGATGCTCTGCAGTTTCGCTGTGTTCAGATTGAGTGAGTTAAATGAATAAATAGCTGCAAAAAGTTAATGAATGCTGCAACGTATTTGTAGATATACGCTGATGAGATCTTGTTGGAACGAAGATCCTTTGATGAGACCTTCGTTTGCTGACATCGTAGATCAGCTGGCATACTTCTTGCGAGAAGTAAAGGTGAGTGAAATTAAATTTAGACAATTCCTAAGCTCTTCCTTCCATTCTTTCCGATTTCTATCAGTTAAGTACTAAATTAATTCGATTCGATAAGATTACATAAAAAGATCTTTAAGTGTTCAAATGAGTAGACTTGCAATAATTTAGAGAAGAGTCATATGAGACCAACGAAGCAGCGACAAATTTTGAAACACTCTCCCTTGTACAAATGGCGAAGTATATTATATTCATAGCCAAATTGCTCCCAAAAGGAAGATAACATAAGTAGAAGCATTACTCAGATAAAAGATAGGTCAAATTACTGAATTGTTCAAACGGTGTATCACTGCTTGTCTAGTTAGCAGTATCTCATGAGTTTTCTTATACCTCTTTTTCATTTGCCGCCTTGTTACTATTGTTTTTACTATCTGCTCTTATTATATGATTATCATATGTTTATTCCATTACTAAGCTTCACTCGTGCATCTAACCTGAAATATCTTCTTCTCTTTGATTCATCAATTTCAGAGGATATATATTAACATCACTGAGGATGAAATTAGTGGCAGTTTTGAAGTGAACTAGAGTCAAAGCATGCTTATGTAGAAAGACTATGTTCATAACCCGAGTGATATTTTAGTTCACAACGTAAAACTACCTTCAGTTGTGTCACTTTCAGTTTTCTACATTATAATAATCTGATAAGCGACAGCGCTTAAAGTCATAGGATTTTAGTCACAATCATATAATCATAGAATCTTTCGTCTTGTAGAATTTAAAAACAATGCTGTTAAAGAAAGATCTTATCCGTTTTGTTGAGAGATACAAAGAGGGAAATAATACTTATATTCCCAAAAAGGAATCAAGATCCAGCCCTCTGATTTTGTATATTGTTGAACTCATCATTGCAGAAATAATTGAACGGTATCGCAGAAAATCGTCCCTTTTTAAAATTGTTTTACCGTTCTGCAAGCGAAGTATCGTACCGTAATTTCGCTCTTTTTGTATTTATCCTAATTTTGGATGTGCAATTGTTTTTGGAGCAAAAACGTAATTTTTTTTTCTTAAAGTTTCCAAAATTGTATAACATTCCATTAAGAAATGCACTGCTTTGGTGCATTGAATAAACAATAGCCGTCATTTAGCGCGAAAATTCGCATAGGTTTATGACACTAGTTTGTAGTCTGTACAGGTATCTGTACAGTCTTGGCGTTGTCGGTGGATCGTGGTTTACGCCTGGACCTGTGGATCAGCGATTTTAGTATTGTAATCATTCTTACTCAGTTGTCGTCCGGTTCACTTCGCCTCTGTTCTTTGTTGCGTAGCAACAGGTTCTCTTATGCGTAACAACAAGACGGCTGAACGTGCCTGTACTGGACATCAACAGGAAGTGACACGACTGCTTCACAAGAAAGAACAGGGACGAAACAAACCAGACGAAAACGGGGTAATGGCTGAACTTACTATAATAAATCCTTGAAACTTTCAATACACGAGAATCTCTAAATTTCAAGGAAACAAGTCAGGAATCGTTAAAAAACGTCGATCAGACATATAAAGCTTTGATGACTCTGGGACCCAGAGGGGTATGGGATAAAAATCAACTTTCAAATATCGAAGGATTCCTTTTTTAATTTAGGCGCTTATTGAATATACAGTTCGCTGGTTTCTTTGTAGAGGACAATTAATTAAAGTTGAGATGCGACCGTAACGTATACAAGATAAATTATTATTTGTAACCTGATCTTCGTACGTCAGTTTCTCGGTATTAAACCTGGAACAAGAATGTTCAGCTCTGTTTTATGAACTGGAATGAGCATAAAAAAGAAAGCTGTAATCGAAGGTTTTTCCAAAAAGAATGTTTGACTCCTACGGATTCTGGTCAAGCGCGAAACCTCCGAACTCTAAGGTAAGATTTCGCATTTTTTTTTTGTCAGCTCTTGCAATTCCCCTATCATTTTTTGAATTGCACGTGGTGGTTAGTGCAAGAAGGAACAATACGAAAAACTTGTCAGTTCATGAAATTAAAAAAACAAAAAACAAAAACAAAAACAAACAATTAAAAACAAGCTTGTTACGATTTCGTGAGGGCTAGTCGGATTTCTTTCATCATCAGACCTTTTTCTTCTGATGTTTGATTTGCTAGATACTTTAATTGAAAGTCTGGCTCGATTTTGATTGAAAGGTAACAAATAGGCAACATATTTTATATACCTATCAGAAGTCAATCAAAATTCGTGTTGATATCTTCCGTCTTTAAAAAATTCGCAAATGACTATCTTGATCTCATTCTTTTACCAGCACAGTTATTTTTTTCAGTTACCGCCAATAAAATGTTGTTAGGGTAACACATTCTTCTATAACTAAAATATCTTTAATTTGCTTATTATTAACTTGGCGAGTTAATCATCACTTTCTGAGCCTATTTTTGGCTAAAAAGGAACATATAGCGTAAACTCCATCAAAAACTAAGTCGAAAACTGATATAATAAGAACTCCTTTTTCTCAATTCTGGAACGAAATAATTCCAAGATCTTCCCAGTGACTTTCAGGTTGTTTAAGTAAGTACAACTCTTCTGCACATAAACTTCTGTTTGCCCGTGTGCAACATTGAAACTTTCCTTTTCAACCATTTAGCCGGTCAAAATGTTGGAGAGAAGATCGTCAGAAAGACAACAAACGTGAAAAGAGTCCTCCAGCACAATATTTTAGTTTTAAGTTTTTTTTTACAATGCGTGAATTGCGATTGGTTCCGATGATATGATCGAAAAGGAATGTTCTTTTGTCGACTTTTCAATTAGGCTGTTAGAGACATCTACTGTAAGCGTACCTTAGAAATCCAGATGATAGAGATAGATAGATAGATAGTTTATTATCAAATAAAATACATTGCAGCCAAAGGCTGAATTGCGTGCTTTTCACAATCATTGATTATATTAGACTATATAAGGCTACCTATTACAAAAATGCTAAGACCTAAATAAAATTACTAATATAATTAATATAGCTAATATGCAGCAGTGGAATAGCTAAAAATCTAGGTTAGCACACGCGCACATAGTCGGGATAAATGAAAATTTAAAACGGTCAGTGCAAAAGCGCTGCATGTTAAAAACGCGCCGGTGTCTAGTATTGTAAGCTGAAAAATGCCTATCTGGCAGCAAATTATATAATTTGTGAGATGGATTTGAGACAGACAAAAACAGATCCGTACATAATTTCATGCGTCTGTCATAGAGCGAAGCTAAACCGTGCCTGTCTAAAGAGTCATGGTATGACAGTTCTGGTGAAATGATGGATAATGCGCGTCTTTGGACCCTTTGGACCCAAGCGAAAATGAACGCGAATTGGCCGCCCAGATCTAGAAACCGTAATTGGATAAATGTGTTCATCCTCTCGGTCAGAAGAATGGTTTTCTGAGTTCGTGTCATATTGGTCTGCACATGTCCGCACCTGAGCAACTGCCACCACAACAAATGCGTCATCTGTCACGTTCCCACCTTCCGAAGTAGCTTGAACGCTCCTTTGTCGCTGCTGAGCCCTACTGGTTGATCTCCAGAGTTAAAATCGTTCCCTAGTTCCGCCAACAAGTCCACTTTGATGGAATCTTGTTGCTTCGTGTAGACGGCCGGTGGTATAGCCCCTGCCTTGTCTTTGGTAGTTTCTTCCTGAACTGTCCTTCGCCTCAACGAACGATACTTCTCCACAAATTCTTTCATAGCACTTTCAGTCTCGGTGTTGATCTCTTCTGAAGGTAGACGTCGCATAGAGGTAAAATTTACGAACTTCTTGCTGGTCAGAGGGACAGGATAGTAGGATTTTTCATGAGTAAAATAATTGGCTGCCCATTTTGTTACTCTCTTCACCGACTCCTTGGTAATCATTCCAAAGTCTTGGGA